TTCTAATTTATTCTAATTATACAAGGCCCAAAGACCTGAGATCAGCGCCATGCTGGGCTCTGCCTACAGCCCTGCTGGGTCTCTCTGTTGCCTCACTAAACACTACCGTGGTCATTCAAACACTGTCTGAGAGATACATTCTTACATTCCCCAAGATGAAGAGGCAGCTGGTGGTACAGCAGATAGCAAGCTAGACCTGGAGTCAAGAGGACCTGAGTTCAAATCTGACCTCAGACACGTATTAGCTGGGTGACCTTGGGCAAGTCACTTAACCCTGTTTGCCTCAGTTTCCTCACCTGTAAAATGAACTGGAGAAGGAAATGGCAAACCACTCCAGTATCTTTAACAAGAAAACCCCAAGTGGGGTCACAAAGAGTCAGACACAACTGAAATGACTGCACAACAACTTACCATAGTTGTTAGAATAAAATAAGGTACTTACAAATCACTTCACAAATCTTAAATCACTAAATAAATATTTTATTATTATCACTATGATAATATTATTATATTATGACATATGATATTATGTTAATATTATCACCAAATTAAGAGAGGCGATGTGGCATAATAGATAGAGAGGTGAACTCGTATTCACAGAAACCTGGGTTTATGTCCCTCCTTGGACACACACTAGCTGTTATTGTTTTCTCCTTCTTCCTCCTCTTCTCCTTCTTCTTCCTCTTCTTCTTCTTCTTCCTCCTCCTCCTTCTCCTCTGCTTCCTCCTCTTCCTTCCCTCCTCCTTCTTCTCAAGCAAGTCACTTAACCTCTGAATGCCTCAGTTTCCTTATCAATGAAATGGGGAGAGTAATAGTCATTAAACTACTTGTCCAGGCTGTTGTGAGGATCAAGTGAAATTGCATGTTTAAACACTCGGCAAACCTTAAAGTCTTAAAGAAAGCCGATGAGAGGCAGCTGGGTACAGTAAAAAGAGGACCTGAGTTCAAATTCTATCTCTGTAGTGTTCTGACTGTGTGACCTTGGGTTAGTCACATGGACTTCATAGCCTCTCCAGTCTCTTCCAGGCCTACATCTACAATCTTGAGGGAAATTCTTTCCCAGCCCTGGTACTACTGCCTCTAGGAATCCTCCCTGACTCCAGCCTCCCCCACAGGAAGGGGATTTCTCCCTTCTCAAACGTCCCTTATTCTACTTTTCTTTGAATCCTACTCTATTTTGTCTCACACTTAAAAAAAAAAAAATTAACCGCAGGGAGAACTTTTGGTCAAGCACCTAATCACATTCAAAGACGACTTATTTCTATTTATCCTTTTAGTGTTTATTCTATATATAGTTATGTACTTTTTGTCTCCCCCCCATTAAAATATAAACTTTCTGAGAGAGATTTACAAATGTAAAACTCTACCTGACACCTAGTAGGTGCTTAATGAATGTTTGTTGATTGACTGATTGATTGACAAGGACCAGAGCTTGGCCATTTCAAGTCCAGCCCAGTTATTAGCCCCACCCAACACCAGAGGGAGCTGGGGAAACATTAATCTCCATGGTTCATGGAGTATTGGCAACCTCTGGCCCCTGGCACAGCTGCTGTTTGGGAGCCACTGCTTGTCTTCTTAGTCTCAAACAATAGTTCACAGTCTTTTTCAGTCACTCAAACCCTGGGCTTTCAGTAAAACTTTCCTGCTGCCTCTGTCCTCTCACCCCCATTCAATATGAAGGGAAAGAAATTCTGGAACCTACCATGCACCTGTACATACAAAGCCATGCAGTAGGTTAATTACAATATAATTACTTATAATACAACACATAATTACAATACAATAGATTAATTTTTCATAAAGAAAACTTTATTTGGTAACTTTTTTGTATGAAGTTGTGAAGTATAATTTTAAAAACATCCAATACGACTTTGTTGTTGTTCAGTTGTATCAGACTCTTTATGACCCCATTTGGGGTTTTCCTGGCAGAGGTACCAGAATGGTTTGCATTTCCTTCTCCAGATCACTTTACAGATGAGGAAACTGAGGCAAAAAGGGTTAAGTGATTTGCCCAGGATCACACAGCTAGTAAGTGTCTGAGGTCACATTTGAACTCAGGTCCTTCTGACTCTAGGTCCCATTGCGCCACCTGGCTGCCTCATGTAGTAGGTGTGTAACAAATGCTTATTGAATGCTTGCCTGAATAGCTAGTATTTACATAGAATTTTGAGACTTTTTAAAAGTGATTTATAAATGCTATCTCATTACATCTTGACAGCAATCATGGGAAGCAGGTACTATTACTACATCCATTTTACAGAGTAGACTGACAAAGTGGAGGCATAAAATGTTATCCCCATTTTACAGATGATGAAACAGAGGCACAGGGAGGTTGAGTGACTTGCCCAGGGTCACACAGCTGGTGAGTCTCTGAGTTCTTCCTCACTCTAAGTCCATTGGTCTAGTTGCCTAGCGACAAGCATGATTATACATTGGTAGTGATAGGACTGAAGAAGGTCAAATGTTTTATTTTTTTTTAAAGGGTAGAAAAAGTCTGCAAACTCTAGGACAGTGACCTTGACATGGTTTCACAGGAAAATTCTAGAACAAATGAGTAGAGATAAGATTAGTTAATCTTAGTCTACAAAAGTTTACAGAACACAAGTCTACAAAAGGAAGTGATGATCACAAAATCCAACATGACTTCAAAACAAATAGGTCAGGTTGGATTAACTGATTTTCCCTCTGTGGTGGCCTTCCTAAGTGAGCAGATGTTCTAGATACAATTTAGCTAAAGCTCCAAAAAATGTCTCAGGATATTCTTGTGGGAAAAATGGAGAGAGGTGGGCTAGAGAAAAGCAGAATTAGATCACTCTTTCCTAACCGAGGGACCACAGACCCCCAAAGGTTTGTGGATAGATTTCAGGGGGTCTATGAACTTGGCTGGAAAAAAAATTAAATCTTTATTTTTGCTAACTCTAACTGAAATTTATCATTTCCTTCAGTTACGAATTTAGGCACCAGGCCCCTCTTCCTAATTTCCCTATCACAGTTGAGGGTATTACCAGCCACCTAATCCCCCAGGCTCAAAATCCAGGTGCCATCCTGGACTTCTTACTCTTTCTTACCTCCTCCCCCTTATCTAATCTGTTACCAGGGCAGCTAGGTGACACAATGGATCGAGTGCTGGGTCTGGAGTCAGTAAGACCTGAGTTCAAATTTGACCTCGGACACTTACTAGTTGTGTGACCCTGGGCAGGTCACTTAACCTTGTTTGTCTCAGTTTCCCCACCTGGAAAACGAGCTGGAGAAGGAAATGACAAACCTCTCCAGTATCTTTGCCAAGAAAAATCCCCAAATAGGATCACGGAGAATTGAACGTGACTGAAAGAATTCAACAATTAACAGAAAATGTGTACTATGTGCTAGGCACCATGCTAAACACTTTTACAAATATGATTTTATTTGATGCTCACAACAATGCTGGGAGATAGGTGCTATTATCATCCCCATTTTACAAATGAGGAAACTGAGGCACGGAGCGGTTAAGTGACTTGGCTAGGGTCACACAGCTACTAAATGTCTGAGAATGAATTGGGACTCTGGACTCTAGGTCCAGTGCTCTGTCCACTTCTCCACCTAGCTGCCCCTGAGAGAGCAGTTCAATGACATTCCCAGAAGGGACCGATGGCTCTGCAGTGTTGGAGGCATAATATGCCTCTCTGTGTAGATGCCCTAGCCACGTGTGTTTCTTACATACATGCTGACCAACCTGTGACCTTGCTAGATGTGCTGTCTATAGGTGTGTCTGCCATATTGTGAGTCTTCTACGTGTCCATGTTTTCCATTGATGGTGTGGGATTTGTGGAGGAATCTACCCTAGGTTTATAGAGAAATAGTCTATTTTTCCCCTGCTTTTCCTAACTTTGCCACTTCATGAATGCCTTTTCTTTTAAAGAATTGTGGGTTAACTAGTAATCATTGGTGTAGGCTTGTGAGCTATAGTTTGTTTTTCTGAACTACAGTTTTAAGTAGAAGCAGACCCAACATACCTTGGACTCTGGACGAGAGATACTCAAAAGAGAGAGTGATCCAGCTGCTTTGACCATGTCAAACTCTGACCTTTGACCAGGTCAGAGTAAGGCAGGCCTGTCAGCTTCTTGCATCTGGACATAATCCCTCTCTTAATGCCATCTAAGATTGCAGTAGGTTTTCTGTGTGGTTGCTACCACAGCCCTCCTTATGTTGACTTACACTGAGCTTACCTTCCACTTGTAACCGAGGACTCTTTCATATGAATAATCTCCCAGCTTTTCCTTCCCCAACCTGTACTTGTGAAGTTGAATCCTTGCACCCTATGATTTCATCTGCCTAGCTTTGGCCCTTGTTTCGGTCTCTTAAGCTCTTTTCAGATCCTGGCTCTGCTGTCCGATGGATCAGTTATACCTCCTAGCTTGGTGTCATCTTCCAACTGGACAAACATGCCACCCACATCTCCATCCATATCATCAATAAAAACTTAAGGGGGTGGAATAGCACAGGGCTGAGATCTGTTTATTCCTTCCTTTTTCTGGCAGGAATTATAGTCAGCCCACAAGTTTCTGGGACACTGGGAGGATAGACCCACTCAAAGCTGAGGGGATCTTCATTCATCTTGGTCTGTCAGGTGGGGCGATGGGGTTAGCTGGACCCCCTTTGTAGTGCACAGTCACAGGCCTGGACCTCTTGACATTTAAAATGCTGCCCCTTTATTCAGATAGAAATGAATTGAACTACTAACAGTCTGTTATGATGTCAAAGCAAAATGAGGGAATTTCAAAAATGCCCTTCCCCTGAACACCATCTTTGTGCAGACTTCTGGGGGTGGAGTTGGGGCGAGGTGGGAGGGGGAAGGGGAGTAGTTTGCTTGGCAGAAAGGGAAAGACTTCCTTCTCTTTTTTTAATCCCATTTCTTCCCCTGCAGCTATGACCACATCGGCGGCTTTTGCCAGGCCCCGCCTCCCCTTCCCTATCATTGGAGGAAGTGAAAATGATGGGCTCCTCTTCCAAAACAGGATGTTCCCTGTCTTCTGGTTCTCTTGGGCTGACTGCCATCTCTTCTTCGCAGAGCTGGAAAACGCTTGCCACCAGCCATGTGCCCCTGCTGCAGCTGGAGGGATATATGCAAATATGAGACCGCCAAGGTCATTCGTGTTCAAAGCATGACCTATGGGACTATAAGATGGACCCTCTGTATGATAGTCTTCCTCTACGTTTGGTAAGCCACATGGGACCGCTTTCTTCTGGCTAACAACTCAGCCTCTAACCCTTCCCTCATCCCCCAGTAATACATTTCTTCTCTGTCCCTGCATTATGTGTGATGCTACATCCCCACCCATCTTTCCACTGACTGTTATTTTTTGGGAGAAAGAAAGCAGTACCAGGAGACTTCCAGTAAAAAGCTTGGTGGGGATTTGGGCATGGCACTTTCGATTTCTTGTAAATGAATCAGAAAGAAGCTACAGAATAAAACACACTCGGAGG